GTTTCTCAAATATTTTTTTTAAAGTCTCCATACTCAAAAATAGTTAAATTCCTTAGATGGTTTGAAGTTAAAAGAATATTCTAATTTGGTAGATCCCTTTTGAGAGGATATTGTTTACTTGAATAAGAACACTTTAAAAGACTTTGAATTGTTTTCTTTTCTTTTTTCCTTTCTCTAATATATAATTTAACAATTTATTGTTTTTTAGAAAAATCTATAATAATAAACTATAAGCAATAATTTTAATAGATAGAGATTATAACCAATCTATTAAAGGATATAATATTGTTTCTTAAATTTGACTTAGAGTATCTATTTAGACTTGGATTTGTTTAATCCAAACTAGTTTAGTAAACTTCTCATATTTTTAAATAATATAATTCTTTAACTAATAATATATAAAATAAAGTAATCATTATATGAATAGTCTATATAATATTATAAATATTTTTAATATCCCAATTAAGACAAGCTATGATAGTATAATTGTAAATTAAAAAAATAATAATGATTTATTTTTTTTAATCCACAATTATATCAAACTAGCTTATTTTTATTAAGATACTTAAAAAAATATCAAAATAATCTACAAACCTTCTCACATAATGATCAATTCATCTTTATATATTATTAGTTAAAGAACCAAACTATTTAAAAAATATGAAGTGTTTACTAAGCTAGTTTAGACTAAACAAAACTAAGTTTCAATTAGATGCTCTAAGTCAAATTTGAAAACAAGATTACATTCTTCCAATAGTTTAATATAGTGCCTTTAAGTTAACCAAGATTATTGCTAACAGTTTGTTATTGTTAATTATTATGAAAAATGATAAATTGATAAAAATAACACTAGGAAAAAAGGGGAAAGGGAAATATAATTCAAAGCTTTTCAAAAGGTTATTGTTCTATTTCACAGTTTCTTCTTGAAAGGGGTTTGTCTAATTGAGATATTTTTTAAGCTTTATAATATTTGAGAAACTTAATTATTCCTGAAAGTAACTTTAAAAAGAATATTTGAGGAATTTATCCTTCTACTAATATATAAATTTGCTTAATGTTATTAAAGCTAGTGCATATTATGAAAGAGTTCGTTTAATCAGATAAAGAAATCTTTTTAAGAACTTTGCCTAATTGGGATAGAAGCTTAAAACCTTAGCTTTTGTTCAAGAAAACCTTTTTATTACTTAAGAAACTTAATGACAGATAGAAATTGAATCTTCTTTTTCTACTTATTACTTGTCTTTTATATCATAATTGTTTTCTAAAAATTGAATATACACAATTGAAGAAGATACTTTTTTAGAACTTTCTTTTTTATATCATTAATAATGTATCAAGACACTTGAATATAATCAATAGGAGCTTGTTTACATTCCAAAAATTGACATGTTTCATGTCAACCAATTATCTTTAATAAGGATTTGTACTATTCAAAATTCAGGATAAAATTGAGGTAGGTAAAATTCTTCAGAAAATTATAAAAATGGAAGAATAAAAGGGTCAAAACAGGCAAAAAGGAAGTAAGTAAACCTTTTTATTGTAGAAAACTTCTATAAATCTTTTGCTTTAAAGGTTAAAAAGGCTTTTCAGTACTTTACAGTCAGTTCTTTTTCCTTTGGGAACTTCTTGCTATTGGTATTAAAAGTGTTACTTGACTTTTCTTGATTACTAGAAGTCATATTTTGAGTAAAGAGATTTGTAGACAATAGGAGAAGGGTAGAAGTGACTCTTGAAGTCATACTTCAAGTTGTTTTAAGGAAATTATTAAGACTTTATTAGCAAGGAAGTGTAAAAATTTCTTGTTAACATCTTTTTTGTATGTGATTAGAGGATCAGTAGAAAGAGTTTTAAATCTAATTACTTTTATTAGAACATTTTTCATTTTTATATAAAATTTAAAATCTCAAGTATATACAGTATATACTTAAAAAAATTTTTTTTAAATATAAATAATAACGTAAATAATATTATGTAATATAATATATAAATTTTTTAATTTTTAAATATACAGTATATATGTAATTATATAGTTAGGTAAATTTGATTGAAAAATTTGCAACATATCAATTTTTGCACTTTATTTTTTAAGATTTATTTAATATCTATAATTTTTTTAAACCTTTTGATATTTTATCTATATTATAAAATCAATTTTTTCGATAGCAATAACTCATTTCTTAAAAAAATATCGCGGATAATTAATTATCATGTTATTGTTAAGCTTATCGAAACTTATAATGCAATATATTTTATCCATACTTTTGTTACAGAAAGATGTTTTCATTTCGTTTTATTTTAAATATGTTATATGCATGTTATATCGTGAAAACTTAAGATTGCATGTGATGATCTTTTCGCTTCGGATCTATGTTGCACTGAACTTCGGGACAATCGAATCTTAGAATAGCGTGAATTGATAGTGCGCATTTACAACAGTTCATAGTTATATAAAGCATTGAATTTATCATATAGTAGAAATTTATGAAATAATTTAGTTTTACAGTCGATTCCTTTTTTAATCTAAAAGTTAAAAATTTAACGAGAGACTCTTTCCTGTTTAATAGCGGGATTAAATTAGATGTTACAATAAGACCGAAAGAAATGTTACTATATCTATTTAAATTTAAACGATATTAGCAGTTTCTAAAAGATAGACAGGATTTCAGTTTTACGAAAAGCTAAGAATCTAGACAAGATGAAGTATAGCATTCGGAAAGCTCGAATTTGACAATATTAAGTCGTACTAAGAAAAATTGGTGTTAAGATGGTTATTTCCGAATATTGATTTGCATATACCCGAGAAATGAATTGATTGCGTGTACACATTTAAGTTAATTCAAATTAATTCCAAATGAAGTAAACTGACTCTATTGAAGGTGATCCCCGAAAAAATCGGTCAATCGTGAGAATCATATTCATTGCATTTTATAAACAGTTTTTCTATTATCCTTCCCCTGATTAATTCTCGTGCGTCTCAAGAAACAAATTTGCTGGAATAAAGTTCCAAAGTCAACGATATGATGGTTAAAATGCAAAAAAAGATAAATATTGGTTCGTCCAGGGAATATGATAAAAATACCTTGTGGAAATACAACAGACTCACCTCTTCTCCAGCAGACGACCCGAATTTTTTCGCAAGGAAGGAAATTCGCGGAGTTAATTCATCAACCTCAATTTCTACTATTGCAACAGCCACTTCAATTTCTACTATTGCAGCAGCCACTTCAAGTTCTACTATTGCAGCAACAACATCTCCAGTTACGGAGATCGTATCTACCAATGATACTAAACCAGACAAAGATCCTGATTCGACTTTCTTTCTTATAATTGGGTTAATCGTTGGCATTACGATACTCGGATGTATCCTCGCGTGTTTATATCGTCGAAGAAAGATACAAAAGGAGAAGGTGAACAGATCATTTAGAAGTGTGAGTGTTGGCACAGGAACAATAACGAGGAGTCCCAAAATTGATGGAAAAAAATCAAGCACATCTTCAATAAACAAGTACTACCCGGGAAACCCTAGTGTCACAAATGGAGAATGCGTTAACATTGATTTAAAGGAAGAAGCTTTATTCAAAGAAATGAAACTTCCGCCCACATCCGCCCTACCAACGCCTCCGACGGAAGCGCGACTTCCATATGCCACCCATTACAAGTCAATGTCATCCCCAAATGTGAATATATTTGATGATAAACAAATAACAGCAAACCTTGAAAGAACGAAATCCTTAGGCCGAAATATCCTAGAATTTAATTTCCCACCCCCTCCAAAACGCCCACCAAATTTTTCTATCCCACCTCATGCAATCACCGTAAACTCGGCGACTCCCGGTTCGGAATGTCTAATCTATACGCCTACCACACCAATATTGAATAATTTTAATGATAATGGTACTTCTGCGGATGATACTAATCATCTTGTGTCATTACCTAAGGTCGAAATGATTAATAAGAATTTGAGCATAAATTTTGAACAATTGAGTATTTTCAAAGATAGAACCAAATCGGATAATGAATATCCGGTTGGTGTTGAGAATGTTGGAGATAGAGGTAAGTTTAAAAGTAATGGAACGAGTGCTCTGCCGATGCTAAGAGACAACAAGAATCAAATAATAACCAAGAAAGATGGGGAAAATGACATTCAGGTCCTAGTGATAAATAATGATGATACGGTAAAATTATATAATGAATACATATAATAATAATTAATAATAGTAAATTACTATAGATCATATAATTTAGTAATTTTTTTTAAAAAAAAACAAATAAAAATAATAAATAATAAAAAAAAAAAAAAAAAAAGCAAAAAAACAAAAAAAAAATTTTTTTTAAAAAAATATTCAGTTAAAATAATAAGTTAAAAGAATTAATAAAAAATTTGTGTAAATATATCGTATTTATAAAATTTTTTAAAAAATCTTTTTTTTTAAAAATTAAATATAATAATTTTTTCAAAACTTTTTTTATTTTCTTGTAATACAATAATCTCAAGTTTCTCAAAAAAGTTAAAAAGATGAAAGAATCTAAAAACAACAATACTAAATAATCAGGTTAAACAATAATATTTATAAGTTTCTAAAAGATAAGATCACTTTTGTTAAAAATAAAAAATACAAATTTTCAAGAAAAAAAATCTATTATTAAACGTATAAAGATATAATTATTTTTAATACATTCATCAGGTTATCAAATAATCTTTTTCACTGATTTTTTGATTATATATAAAAAAAAATATTATAAGAAATTTTATACTTTATATTAATAAAACTTTATTATTTTCTTTAAACTATTTAAAGTTTATTTTTAAAAATTAATAATATACTTTTCTTCTTATTAATAACTTGACTTTTAATAATTAAAAAAGTTATATAATACTCTTTTTAACAATAGCAAAAAAGTTTTTTTTAAAAAAAAAAACCAAAATGATATTATTTCTTTATTTATTAATAAATAACATAAAATTTTTTAAATAATAAAAAACTAATTAACAATGCAATTTTTTTTATATATTATATTTTTTTTAATTTTTTAAATTATTCCAATCTATTTTAAATTTCAAGTATAACAAGTTTCTTTTGTAATAATTTGACAATAAATATACAGTTGCTTCCAAAAGTTTGAGTCCACTTACTATATTTTTATTATAAATTTTAACTTTGATAATTTTTAAAT